TTGTCAACATCTTCAATCTTATTAACTACTCTTTTTGTCAAACACCTCATATGGAGATGGTACTGGTCCTTAAACTTCCTAAAAGACGTCAATCAATTCTCGTGGATCATTTTGATCTTCTTCCATGAAAATAGGAGTACACTACTCAGCGTTAGTTGTAGTTGTCCAGAACTTTGGAAGCGCCAGCAAAAAGCATTTTCGAGAATCGCAGCAAATACTGGGTCTACAGTAACGATTCGCCGGGGTAAAGAAGAAATCTCTATCTCATCTCCTATTTGTCAACTGGATTGACATGATTATCAGAAATTAGTGCTGATTAACATGAACACTGAATAGACATGCATCTACCAAAATGCTGGCAATTATCCAACGCGAGGCGCAATGGATACTGTATACTAGCAATTAACAAGCAATTACATACATCTCCGATCGACTATTGGAGGCATTGAATCCATGAATCCAGGCTGTCTATACGGCCATAGATTTTCTAGACTTGTAGGGATAAATGTAAACATATCTATCCATATAATTATATTATATATTTATATTATTATATAAGCTCAAGTTCAACCAGAAAAGATATACAAAAAGATATAGCGGAAACACAAAAATAAATAAAAAAAAGTAAGCATCAAAAAATGGAAGTATCGATTGATTACGGCATTTGTTTTTGTCTCTTTTGTGAAACCTGGGGCCGTGCCATATCTCTCAGCTATGGCCGTGTGGGTCACGTAGCCAATCCATTGCAAAATCAAAACAAAATAAACCAAAATAACTGATAACTTGTTTGTGTGCACCGTGCACCCACTGTGCAAAAAATAAATAAGTAAATAAATAAATAAAGCGATCTTGAACAACTGGAAAAAGAAAAGCTGTAGAGTCCTGGCCTTCTTACACCAAAGAAATCGGGGTCGATCCAGTTAGGGGGGGGGAGCATCATGATGCAGTTTCTCGGCGAACCAGCGTGAACTCGAACATTCCAGCTTTTCACGCATGTCAAGTGAGCCCTCACCCCCACCCCCGAGACTGGCTACACTCCCCTGGCCCGGAGTTACCTTAGCTTTCTGGAAAACTGCATCATGATACCCCCTCCCATCTAACTGGAATAGACCCGGAAAATCATATCGCAAATCCCTAAAGGCAATAATCGACGCTTTAGCGCAGCCATTTCTAACAAAAATATACCCTCGTTTGATCAAGCTCCTGAATCCGCTACACAACCGGAAAATTCTCCTAAAAACTCTCTCCAAACCCTTAAGCCAATTATGAACGGTTATCAGTCAGTTTTTCAAAAATAAGACACATCCTTGACAATATTGCCCTGGATTCCCTACAAATTTGAGAAATTTTTTTAAAAAGCTGTGAGCCAACGATGAACGATGAACGGTTGTAGGTTCTTTTTTTTGAAATAAAATATTTTTTCCCATAATCAAAATATTTTCTCCCATCAGCTAATTGATTAAGTGCATAAATGTTTACCATTACAAAGCGAACGGAAAATCTTTTGAATCGTGTTTTATTAGGTTGATAATAAAGGGCACATTAATCAAGGAATTCTTGGAAAGAAGCGAGTACTAGTTAACTAGTCAGCGCCTAAAGTTGAATGCCCATCTTTCTTAAACTAAATCTAATCAGCCGACGACGGCGACAACGAATTGCACGTCTAGGCGACTTACCGTAATATCTATTTGAATTATATCTGCGAATCTAATTACTTGATTAAGCGCGCGGGGTTACGGTAGCGGCCAGTGGCGACGGCTGGAACGACGACGACGACGACGGCGCCGCTGAAGGCCGTGGAGCGCGGCGTCAATTCATTTCAGGCCAGGCGAGCGCCGTCGGAAGCTTCAGCTGCTGCAAGGCAAGCGGCGAACTGGGGTGCACACAAGAGAATTCGTCGGGGGCGAATTATCATAACTTGCGCGACGAGAGAGAGCACACGCGCGACAAATTGCATAAACGACGGCCCGAGTAATGATGAAAACATGAAATGGAATAGAAATCTCATTAGGGCCCACGGGTTCGCCGCAAAGGCTCATCAGCCCTTCGGCGCTGCCGTTGCTGCTGTCGACGACGACCATCCGGCACGAGGTACAACTTCGTGTTCTGCAGCCCGGCGGGGAGTTAGGTAAACCCTTAGGAACGGTAGCAATAGCCAGCCTGTAACCAGCTGACATCTCATAGCCATTCCAGTACTGCTTGCCCCGTTACTGTTGTGCAAAAGGTTGGCCCTTATGGTTAGCGACACGTTCGAATAGTGTACACTTTTGGGTGGAAAAGGGGCATTAGAGGTCATCAGGGCTGCATTTTCCAGCTTCGACCATCCTCCACCCCTTTATCTGCGCTCGAAGAAGAAAAAGTAGAGCTGATGATATGAGCAACAACAGAATGGTGGGAGCAGTACTGTAGGTACTGTAAGCAAGCACTGAGAGAAAGATTGCGAGATACATTAGGTGCAGATGAACAAATATAAACACATATATCTGCTCAGTGAACTCAAATCATCCAACCCGAGTTAGAGCGGATAATCTCAAGAAACTTGCAGCTTGATCAAGGACGCGTCTAATCCAGGATACGCCACGCATACACGTTATTCAGAAATGTTGTTTCATTTGAAAGAGCAACCATTACGGAATGAGCTGCTGTCTAGCCGACTTATAAGCCGAAAATACTGCATCTCGTTATAAATCTCAAATACAGACAACCACAGGGAAAAGAAAGGTTTGGTCTGTCCATCATAATTCTATCTCATTACGCTACATACCAGATGCCCCTCCTCCTTAGCCACTGTAGCAATATCACCCATTCACTTCAGTATAATCCCTTAAGTCATCATCTCTTTATCTCGCCTGCTGCCTAAGCTGTCACGTTATCGATGTTTTTTTGTGTTCCCTAGTTTTACTGATGTTAAGATATGATGCTAATTAGCGCATGCCATTAAATAAATAAATAAATAAATAAAATAAATAAGCATGTGTTTAACTGTCATGGGCTAAGCGATCGGTAGAGAAGAGCTAGTATTCAAACAGACACTGAATGGGGCGTTCTATAAGGAAGCTCTACAGAAAAATTCCATCGTCCTGATGACTTCTATCACAATGCAAAAAAGCAGGCTCATCTAAAAACTCAGGATAGAGAGGATCATGACGACCTTAACAACGAAACCAATTGCCTGAAAGCAAGTAATTTACTAATGGTTTGATTATTATAGCCGTAAGGGCGATAGATTATCTGCGAGCTTCATCCAAATGCCTTCATACAAAAATCGAGTTGAGTGCGTTTTAAAGGATCGTCATAACACCTGCTGGATACTGCTTACATATCTAAGTGCTCGATAGTGATTAAGTTTGGCACTTCTAGCAGACAGGGTCCAAGCCCACGTGGGCAGGAACATAGGACTTAAAGCAACAATTCCAGACCAAATTTGCGGGCTAATAACCACCGATAATGAAGCTGTAAGCGAAAAGCTATCGTATATGTGACAAAAGCAAAAACAAGCGTCGAAAAGATGTTCAAGAAAGGAACTCCCTTGCCGCTTAGCAATGTGGGAAGACGCGTGGTGGACGAGTTGCGAACCTGCCTGCAATCACTATCAACCAGTTAAACCACATTAGAAGTGCGAAGACGTCATCGTGAAGATAGATATGCAGAAAGCATAATGCAAAGCGACTAGAAAGCAAGTGGAGGAAAGCGAATTTCAGGAAGAAAAGAGAGAATTCCAGCGCAAGCGGTAACATCACATTGACTGCTTCAAAGGTTCGAGTTCAAATACCTACATGTGTCCCAAAACGATCCAGGAATGCCTTCCGGAACACACCGCTGCATTCGACGTTGCCAAAAAGAAATTCCGACCCCACCCACCTATTATTAACTATTGAGAGCTTATTTAGGCCCTTTTTGCGGTTTTCCGAGGTGAGTTTCCTCTACAACTACAATTCATATCTCCACTATGGGCTAGTGCATCCTTAAATCCCTGTAGTATTGAAAGCAACAGACCCTGCTAAGACTGTTGCTTTAATCTGGAGTCTCTCCACCGCCTAAGGCTTAGTCTTGTTTTTGACAAACAGGAGATAATTCACGCATTTAAATGCATCGCTATCACAATTGGAGTGACCCCAGAATGGGTGAGCCATTTTTCTATTTGCCTGGTGTTCCTGTCCCCGGGGCTTAGTCTTTGAGGATGACTCCAAGTCTTGCAATAGCGCCGATTGTATAGTATCAGTACACCTTAGCTCCAGAGAAACTAAGCTGACAAGTTCACTTATATAAATGGAAGAAATGACATAAAGGTGATGACGGTCTTAAAGAGAGAGCTAGAATAAAAGATCCTTATCTATTCGTCCAACCTTTGGAGTCTCCAAACGAGCTTTGGCCAGAGTATTTGAAAAGGCTTCTCTCACTTCCAGTCATTCAGGTCCCAGAACAGATTCCTCCTTTAGTCGATGTTGTATAGCTGGAGAACAGCAAGAGTGTTTAGCGCGTATCCCTACGGTCTGGACCCAACATCGCAGATCGTAGCGCCGCGCTAGCTCAATCAAGCTTACGCTTCCGAAGTCGTGTTATTTGCCACAAAGATTTCCCTGACGTAATAAAGTTATCGGGCTTGTAGCTACTGTCGCACAATCATTTGCATAGCGCGAAATCGTATTCAATCGACGCATGCAAACCTGAAGGAGGTAGAATAGCGTTTGGCGCAAAATAACTACTCGCTGTTCATTGTCAATCGCCTGAGCTGTAGTAGCCTCCCTGCGCAGCAAAGAAAGACCTAACAAAGAGCAATACACCTCACAGCAAGTAAAAATATACGACAGCTGATGAATCGCTTCATTTGATAATTTGCTAACAAGAGATAATCGCTTTCGATGAAGGTGCAGCAGCCTTGGGCTTATCAGCTTATCATGGGCATACCTAGGTCGAAGTGCAAAAGAAGTGCTTTTGGGCAAGTGCTTCCCGGCAATGTACCTACACTTTCAAGATTGGAGCACAGAGTCGTATCAGCTCTATTCATTTTGCTCCTTGAATGCTTCTTCGAGCATACGATCCGCCTCATCCAAAACAAGAATCTCGATATTGTTGAGAGAAAACGATGACGAATTATGCAGATGATCAATCAGACGTCCAGGAGTAGCGACCACCATATCCGGCCCAGAACGCAGTGCAACTTTCAAAAATATAAAAACTCAATTGATAGGCAGCTATTTCACAGCTTTGACTTGCTTTTGATCAACGGCCGCTTTTGGTCCACAGTTTTCTATGCGCAGGTTATCACAAGAATATTGAAGAATGAGCAGAGCACTCCTCTCATCGTAATAACTTCGTATAGCATTGAAAACCGAGTCCAGAATGAAGGGTGCCCCGGGCTATAAAGTGCAAAGCTAGTCGAAAAGACGAAATTATTGACATTAGTCAGTCATTTTGGATATCGCCCCCACATTCCAGGGTGCGCTAAAATTACGGCTACAGCGATTTCGAGTTGCCTAGAGTGAACATGCCACAATTCCAAGGCCAGAAATAACGTAACGTTCTCTGTTAAATGGTGAATCGTAAACATCTACCAAATCTGAGAAATTCTTTCACTGGGTCATTTAACGGGCCTTGAGAAAAATAGGGCCGTCAGCACGCAAGGTGGTGCGTAGAACCCGTTCCTACGTATTCTGAAGCAATTCTTCAAATAATCCCCAAAAATGTGAAGTTCCATGCAAGCTTCAGCTTACAGAATCAATTCCACAGTGTAAGCCATTTATATTGAATCTGAAATGCTGACCAACTCGTTGAAAGTGATGAATTCGACAAAATTGGCTCTGACCCAGTTCTGCACCACCCTTGCCTTATGGGAAATCCCTTCCTTATGAAAGATCCAAACAATGTTTTTAAATCTTAAGATGGCAATTTGCTTGGGAATTCCTCGAATAATCTCTTCATGTCCATTATCTCTCGCGACATTCGGTAGAACGAGTGCGCGAAGTGAGAAGCAAATCTTTTGCGCACCATGCTGACATTGCTCGTGGCCGTCTTGGAATCAGGGCCTTCCCATCTAGAATGAGTGCATTCGGTTCCTTACTCCTTGGAGCGTTTAGTGGATCCATGATTGGTACCCAGGTAAAAACCAAAACGCTGATAATTCTTGCGTGCCGCAAACACTCAAAGTTGAAGTTCAGTGATCTAGAAATAGCGGCAGAATCACTCAGCCATCGTAACAATCATACATATTGGTGGTCAAATAAGATAATTATGAACAGGTCAACACAACAAAACCAAAATGAGCGCAGCAGTAAACAGCATCTTTGAATAGTGGTTCAAATTGTATGCGCATCCGTTGTCGCCGTAATTTTGGCGCACCCTGTATACTTCCGTTTACAATCGAAAAGACATTTCAATAGGTTTTGACTACGGTGACATGTGGGGAGCAGCCTAACGATACACAGGTCGTTGTGCTTTTATTCTCTCAGACAAGTCCAATCCGGACTAACCGACCATGCTGGGAAGGAAGGTTTGGTTGGCCTGAGTGGGATTCATTCCGATATTAAATTAAACCGTGCGCGTATCAAGATGCGCCATTCGCCCCTGTATAGCCTCCGCTAGCTGCTGGGGACAATACAGAGGAAGACGTAAAACTTCATGTTTTAGGTAAGAGGTGTTTTGCGTTCCTTGAGAATTCCTTGCTGGACCAACCCTACAGAGACGTGTTGACAAAAGAAATCCATTAGTGATGTAAGGCTAACGGTCCAGCCCTCACTTCACTACGAAGAAAGCGCCCCCGGTTTTGAAGAAGGAGGAACCAAATTGAAATTTCACCTGCCAAAGGTAACCTGAAATAATCGTTAATATGAGGAAATGGTGTCTTCAGAGATTCTATCAAAGGTCTATAAGTATACAAATAAGGACGAAAACTAGTAATCGCAAGCAATGAATCTGTGCATCGTGGCGAAGACACCGGGAAGAAATGCTTGGCCGAGATTTGCTTGAAAAGTATGTATGAGGAACTTCTTCAAAAGCAGTAAACACGATGGCTGGAAAGCGGAGCGGTTTTGATGACGTCATCGAACTTCATTAGTGGACAACCTCGTAACACAGTGGGAGGGAGGGTAGGTGTGGTCTAGACCACCTCTTGAAAATGAAATGAAAAAATGAAGAATGAAAAAAATGAAAATGACGTCATCAAAATCGCTCCACCCTCCAGCCATAGTGTCCACTGCCTTTAAACACTAAGAACGCGCTTGTTTCAAGATCCTGTCAATTATGAATCTATCAGCTTACTGCTAAGCATCCGAAAACAGTGCAAACCAAGACAGGAAGTACCACTTGGGACCTTCATAGATCAAGGGACCTGGCTATGGTGATCTGAGCGGTCATCGGTTGACCAGAAAGTGGGTAGGGAGATTGACAGTAGCCTTAGGGGCGATACAGCAACTTGGAAATCTAGCAATTCAGCGATCGTAAGAAACAGCGGTGATTCAGATGAATATTGATGGAGAATCACGCGTGGAAATTTACAAATTATCCTAAAAACAAGTGGATAATCACCTCAATCACATGATTAGAAGCCGCGACACCTCAAAACGGTTTCAATGCCACAATAATTAAAAAATGTTGCACATGAATGAATGGGCGAGCTTCTTCTTCATACCGACACAGATTTTTGTTTACATCTTTAAGAAGTGAAAAAATAAGCAAATAGATAAGTTAGAATGAAAATCTATTTGTAAGGCATACAGGAGTAAGCAGCATTAAGGTACCTGCGAATTTATAACCCTGTTAAGCAAATAGATCCCTTCATTCGAATGAGAACCTTCCTTTATCATTTCAGGGCTTTCCAGTGTGAGCCATGCCTCAAATCTCGCACATGATTGAATGCGGCTGAAGTGGGTTCTTTGAGATATAATCCCCTTCTTTGACAGGATTTTCTTCACTCCAAGAAAGCCATTATGTAATACGATTCCAGCCCTAAACCCTGTTGATCCCCTGTTCCGAGCATTTTCAGAATAACATAGCCTTTCGAAGTCTTGTTCTACAGATGCGTCCATCCGCACTATTCAAACAACTAGTTTACCCAGGGTAACCGGCCTGAACTACCGCGCCCCTTCAAGTGAAGCTCGTGCTCAGCCACCAAAAAACACCTGCTCGAACGTTTGTGAGGTGCACGACGTCGGAAATCATCGTATGTGCATGGCAGCAATTTTTCACAACTGGCAGCACCCCAGGGGGCGGGCTGGTGAGCGCGCGACATCTACCGGCTGAATGCTTCTGGAAGGTGTTAATCAATTAGAGAGTGGGGTATGAATTGTGGTTTCCGCCTAAATTGGCCGATTGCCTAATATGGCGGCATTCATGCGCAAATGAACAAGTTGGTAGTCGCAACAGCAAACGAGCAAACCTGACCTGGGGACTAACAGGACCTGGGATTACTTATGAATGAGTTCGGGAGCTTCGAATGACTGCTTTTGGGAGAAACTGCTCGGGAGTTCCTCAGGTTTCTACTTTAAAAGACCCTCATTGGCCCCAAGGATACGGTGATATTCCATAGACAAGAGCGCTTTAGAACTGGGCTATCCAGCTGTACCCACGCAGCCATTTGAAAAGTTGCTTCAAGGCCGAATCTGGCCAATTCATATGCGAAAGTTCAGCGCTCTTATGTGACATCGGCGTGAAAAGCTCATAACGAGGCGCTGGCGATTGACGTGAGAGATTGAATTAAAGGCCATAATAGATTGCCAAATGGGTGGGCTATGCAGCCAGGTGACGACTATTGACCACAATTGGCTAACAAATGTAGCACCCAAATATTGCATAAGTGCTGCCAAAAGGAACCAAAATGTCCCACTGTGAAGTCAGATTTCCATTGAGGGTTGTGGGATAGGAGAAGGGCATAGTGGCCACGAAGGCAACGACCTATTGAAGCTTCCTAGCTAGCTAGTCCTAGAATTTCGAAACTCTGATACTTGACCTCCTATCGCCTTGGTGCCTCTTCAATTTCCACCTCTGTTCACCCAGTTATTTCTTCTCCTTTGGAGCCTCCTTTATGAGCCCGAACATCACGACAACAAGCGCTTATTTGGGCTGATAAACGAGCGAACTCCCTTCGTCAGCATTGGGCGCATAGTAGCGGAAACATGGCCGCCCATATTGGCCACCTTTCTGAATATAATAATTGCAGGTTGAATGAAACCAATGAGGCGCTACAATTGCCGAGGAAAGAAACGATTCCAGGGAGTGAGACTGACGCCAATTCGAATGGGTAAAAGAGGAGGGTTGGGAAGTAGGGTGGCTCCTAGGGTATCCCCTGGGTTGGAGTCATAGGATGAAAGAAAGCAGGAAGGAGAGGAGCGTCTGAAAACTTCACCTATGAGTTTTGAACAGCTGGCTCTGATTTGTTAAGGCCTTAAAGCAAAATAGTCTTTAGTTCGGCGTCAAGGGTACAGGAGAAGAACGAGCTCAACATTGAAAATATTAAAAGAAATAATTTCAGTAAAAAAGCGACATTGAAGTATAGGACCGTCCAAATCTCAGTATACGCCATGTACACGACACCTTAAGAGAATCTGTGAAGAACTTGAGAAGATTTGGCGTCTTCCGCGTCTCCTGACGCTAGCGCCACAAATTTATAAACAAACGTAGAAAGGTGCCGCATAACCCATTACTTTGACTCATTGATCGAACACATCTAAAGAATTGAGGTAAGTCACAAAGACGGGGTACCCTTCAGAGAGCTATGGAAATCAATCGATGACAGAGTAATCGAGGTAAAGTCCTAGGAAGTCGAGTAACTAGCGGGTTGGTGCAGTCAGGACATCGAAACGACGTCGCGAGTGCCATGAAACGAGAGGAGCGATCGGACGGTTGGTGCACGATGCACAGCCACCACCATCCACAGCCCACCTGTGTACGTGTGCGGTGAACGAAACTCGTTCCGGTCAGCATTTATTCATTAATGCAATTAAGCGCGCGCAATTTCACAACTCTTCGCTGTAGCGTGATGTGGATGCATATCGATCGATGGTTGAAGACGACTTTGACTTGTGTCTAATTGGCGACAATTCAATGTATTGAGCGACGAACATTGTGCGGAAGCGTTACTGGATAATTGGTATTCGTGGATACGAAGACGCCGATGGTGGCGACAATGAGACCATGATGACCCTTAGGGGTTTCGTATTCCAGAAGGGAAGTAGTGCAGGAGGGGAAAGGGGGGGGGGCGGTGGCGGTTACAAATACTTGCGAAATCATTACACGTTGTTGAAAGGACAAAGTGCTGGGAAGGTTCATGCAGAATATTTACATCCTTAAGGTCTGGAAGATTGGTGGTATTGCAATGACGGGCGAAAGTTGTCTGACCGCAGGAAGTGCCAGCCGACCATAGTGGGCGGAAGCTTTCCTCAGTGGCTGTATTTCTTTTGAAGGGGTTTTTACAATTTTTCGTGTAACAATAGAAGCGAAATGTTAGTTGTGAAGTGATAGTTTGGGACTTATTGGAGTGCTAACCATAATTGCTATGAGACGTTTCGTAGTTACCTCATGGCGACTGAATACGGCCCACGGAGCTTGTCGTTCAGGATTAGGGGTTAGAGAGCTAGCAGTACGGTAAAACTGCCGTCAGTGGCTGAGCTTATTGATAGCTAGACAAAACTAATGACTTGAGAGCCACTTTGTTGGACCATTTCTTCGAAGAAAATATCAATGGAATAAGGTCGGAAAACGGAAGGCGAAAATCGACCAGCCGCTACCGTAAGCCAGTGAATTGTGCCGTTGCTGTCATAAGAATTTTCTGCGTATGTAGCTTCAACACAGAAGCAGAAAGGAGAGGAAATTCAAACGTTGAGGAACTTTGAATATTTATTGATGATCATGATTTATATAATCATTCATCCTTGGCTTCTATCTACTTCGATGGTCTGGAAGAGAGCCAAAAAACTGGCCAATCATCCGGAACCCATCATCAGCATAGTGATATCCACTGGATTCGGCGTGTCCTAATTGTTAGAATTGAGGCGCTGGATCTCAACTCTGAGGATCCCTGTGGGAGAAGCATAATCAAGAGCAATTACACTATTCCAGATGACTATGTAGGAAGACGGAAATTATAGCCCTAAGCCAGATAAATTGGGAAAGACTTCAACTTTCCAGAGGAGCACATACAGGTGACTCCAATCGATAACCAGGAAAGATGTGGTCCCCAGTTGGAATGACGGAAAGCAAAAGGGCCTGGATAGCCGACTGTAAGGTCAGGGAAATGGAAACTAGTGTTTCGATTATACTAGGCATGTCCTTCAAGCAACGTCATCCATCAAGTTGGACAGATTTTGGGACCACAATGGCTCCTTCTTCTAACCCTTCCATGAGGTATTCAAAGCTGGTACTACCTCACACTTCCATTCTGGGAAATTCCGGCGACCAGGAGGGGTATATAACTGCAAAATATCAAAAATTTTGAAATCTTCCTA